AGACATAAGAGACATGGGTTTGATTCTTGGGTCAGGAAGATTCCCTGGGGGAGGGCACAGCAACCCACTCCAGTATTCTTGCCTGAAGAATCCCATGGACAGATGAGCCGGGCGGGCTAAGGTCCATGGGATCACAAAGAGTTGGACACGATTGAAGCAACTTAGCATGCACACACACACACACACAAACACACACACACACACACACACACCACCACCACCAACAACAATAATAGAAAAGTCTACATCACGCAAACTTAGTAAAATCTAGAATCCAAACATGACTATGGGAAATCAAATTGCCAAAATGGTATGGTCTCAGTCCTGCCCTTTGAAAAACTCATGATGTGTAGTAATAAGTAACCAGTATAACTCTGAAAGTTCAATCTGATATTATCTTTGATCCAGGCACACTGTTCTTTTACAAATAGATCAGTGATTTACTTAATAAAAACACTCCTTTTTTGGTTTTATTTTCTTTTTTTTCCAGTTTGGAATGTATGTAACCAGATGAGTATTAAAAGTAAAACATATAGCATATTTTTTTAATATTTGAAGGATGAGTATCTTTACTTTTTCAGAGTGGGGTCCAATCCAATATTTAAACTAAACACATTACTTCAATATTTAAGAAAAAGGCTGTTTATCCCAGAGAAAGCAACTGACTTATAAGGAGCCCCAGATAAGTCAGTCAATCGTCTGTCAGTCGACATTCGCTCGGATAACACTGGGGAGCATAGTGGGAGCCAGGTGCCCTGGGCTCTGGCCGCCACAGACAGGGACCCACTCACGGGCTCTATAAACCCGCCTGCCCTGAAGGCATCACCGCTAGGACTGCCAGGGTTCACAGAGGTTCAGTCACTTACTGCAGCTCCAGGCGTGCAGATTGGACACGGCACAGAGGAGCCTCTGCCTCCTCACAGGCCGAGCGGGGAGTTCTGTCCTTCACCCAGTAATACTTTGAGCCAGTGCTGAGTTCATTACCTCTCAACAGGTTAAGTCCTGAGTCCACCTCAGAACCAAGCCCAGCATGAATCATACTATCTTATGGTCCTATCACAGGCTTCTACTTCCTGTGAGGCCGGAAGGCATTTTCCACTACTGCTCACAGAGGGATGGCCCTCCCTCTGTTTCGCTCCTTTGTTCTTGTAAGGAGAAGAGTGGCCTCCATGCAAGGGACTCTCACCTGCTTCTTCTCAGTGGCCCTGGGTGTGTCCCAGATTAGGCTCAAGAATAACCCACCAAGCAATTTCCAGTATAGCGGAATAAGATAATTTCCTGAACATCACCACAGCCAAGAGACAGCTTAACAAAACCATTGGGAAATAACAGTCTCTTGAAGAGATACTGATGTTGTAGTTGGAGGTTATCATATCATGTCAGGCTTCCGACATGCTCAGTTGGTAAAGAATCCATCTGCAATTCAGGAGACTCCAGTTCAATCCCTGGGTTAGGAAAATCCCCTGGAGAAGGGAACCGCTACCCACTCTAGTATTCTGGTCTGGAGAATTCCATGGACTATACCATCCATGGAATTGCAAAGAATCGGACATGACTGAGCAACTTTCACTTTCACTTATCATGTAACCCTGAAGATTTCATTGTTCTGATGCTAATGAAAAACACAAAATCTGAAACATCATCTTGGTGGGTCATCCTTAATGTTACCTGTCCTTCCTAAACCTTACTCTAAAATTATACCAGCCTGTATAGATTCTCTCCAACAATAATCAAACACATGAAAAGAGCACTAACTATAGAGAATACATAGGCAATGTCATGAAGACTTAAAAGATGATAAAAAGTCTCACATGATACTAAGAAAAATAATAACAGCTCACAGTTTGCAAAATGACAATGTCAAGGAAATAAGTCTAATCTCATTAAGCTGTTTGTGTCTTCCTAAGGAAATTATCCGTAGCCTTTGCAACACAAGATCAAATACATGAACAATTTAAGAGTCACTTGTCCATATCAAAGAATGGAGTCATGTGTTATGATGATTTCAGGCTAACAGGTTCATTATTCATTTCATAATATTTATTGAGCACCTACTTACTAGGCACCAAGCAATGGGGGCACAGTGATAGCCAACAGAGACACGGCCAAGATTTCTTTAGCCCTCGTAGTCTGGGAAGCAGATCTTCAGACAGCATTTATAAAATATACGTATGATTATAAATAGTGGCATTTGGGATGAAGGAAAGTCAGTTTATCTTAAGGATACATAAAGTAACCTTGACGTTTGAATATTGAAGCTGGAAAACTGATGGATTACTATTAATAATACTGTCCGTCCTTTTGCGGTCTCTGTTGTTTCCAACACCTTAAAAAGGACTTAAAAGCTTTTAATGTCTTAAGACTTTTTATACCATCTTGTTATAACTGAAAAGCAATGCAGAAACTGAGATGTACATAAGAAAGCATAAATGAAACATGATTAGATACGGAGGCAGGACATGAGCAGGAACAAGGGGCAGTTTGGTTTGGTGGAAGCTTCTGCAAGAGGAAGTAGGATCTGATAGAGAGACCTTATGGACTATTAATATTAGTCCATAAGGATATGGATTACTCATCCATGGAGCTGAAAAATAAGAGATAGGTATAGGCTACATAAAAGCAGAGACATGACTTTGCCATTAGTCTGTATATAGTATGTATGAGTCTGTATATAGTATGTATGTATATGTAGAGACATTACTACATAAAAGCCGAGACATTACTTTGCCAACAAAGGTCCGTCTGGTCAAGGCTATGATTTTTCCAGTGGTCATGTATGGATGTGAGAGTTGGACTGTGAAGAAAGCTGAGTGCCGAAGAATTGATGCTTTTGAACAGTGATGTTGGAGAAGACTCTTGAGAGTCCCTTGGACTGCAAAGAGATCCAACCAGTCCATCATAAAGGAGATCAGTCCTGGGTGTTCATTGGAAGGACTGATGCTGAAGCTGAAACTCCAATACTTTGGCCACCTGATGCGAAGAGCTGACTCATTGGAAAAGACCCTGATGCTGGGAAAGATTGAAGGCAGTAGGAGAAGGGGATGACAGAGGATGAGATGGTTAGATGGCATCACCAACTCAATGGACATGGGTTTGGGTGGACTCTCAGAATTGGTGATTGACAGGGAGGCCTGGTGTGCTGCAGTCCATGGGATCGCAAAGAGTTGGACACGACTGAGCGACTGAACTGAACTGATAGGCTATATTGAGGAGGAAGAATTTTGGGTCAGTAACTGACTAGATATAAAAGACTTCTGAGAATTCAAATCCAAGATTCCCAAAGGAACAATGGGCTATGAGCATAAAGTAGGATCAACAATAAGTATGGTTTTGATCCCACTGAGTTTCAGTGTCTAATAGCATGTCCAGCTGAAGCTCGTCAGAAAGGACAGAACTGGAAACACAGATTTGTCATCCTCTCAGAAGTGACTGTTGCTACTGGAAGGGTCGGAAAAGAGGAGAGCAGAGGCAGGGGAAATTACTAAAGAATCTCGAGGGAACTTGGTGGTGGAGAAACGTTGTTGGCAAGCCAAAAGGAGCTTTGGGGTGGCAAGTGAAGGAGGATTGATGAGGAAATCAAGGGAACAGGATGAAAATATAATCAGCGAAGTTAAGTTCTGGGGAGAGATTAGGGGACCCAAAGAATAAGAACAGGGTTCAAGGAATCCAAGGATTCAGGGAATGAGAACTGGACTGGGAAGGGAGAGGGGTTCACTGTTTGCTAATTATTAATCACATTTCAAACATCAGAGCCAAGTCTCAGAAGTAATGGCTGCTTCCATATGCCAGCCAGCTCTGGATAAGACTATATCCTCTTCCCGAGAAGATTCCAGATGACTCCCTACAAAGACAAACTTTGATGAATCTATGTATTTTCATCAATTATATGAATATATATAAACTAGCAAATATAAACATTAAAAAAGAGTGCATATCTATTATACATTTCTCACTGCTTAAAATGGGATTGTATGGGGAAGGTGTCAGGCCACACTTAACATCACTTTCTTCTAACAGACAAAAATGGTAAACCTGCTGGACATATTCAGATCACTCATAAAAATGGTAGGTTCTGGGAGGTTATATTAGAAGCAATGGGTGGAATGCATAAAGACGGGAGAGACAATGCTTACAAATATCATTTAAGAGACCATCCCAATAATTAATTCATAAGGCTGTGGGTTACTAACTCATCCATGGAGTTTAAAAAAAGAGACAACTATAGGCTACATCAAAGAGGAAGAATTTTGTACCAGTAACTGACTAACTAGATATAAAAGACTTTTGAGAATTCAAATCCAAGATTCCCAAGGGAACAGTGTGCTATAAGCATAAAGCAAGATCAATAATAAGTCTGCTTTTGTAAATGGAAATAAAGGAAAGGCAGGACACTAAACTGCTGTTGAGAGTCTTATCCCCTACTCATTATATAGGACCATACACTCTTGGATGTTTAGGATGAAATTCCAAACAGCTTTTAAACAATTAAGTCCAAATAACTTTTTAGGACTTAATAGGTATATTTAATTAAATATGTTTTTTATTTAATCATATCTAAGTGTATGGACTACTATTTTATAAGAATACAGAAAACTGGTAATTATATCAAGTTACTATCACAAGGTATATCACGCTGTTCACTAAATCTTTCACTAAAGTGAAAAGTACTAGTTTCTCAGTCGTGTCTGACTCTTTGTGACCCCACAAACTGTAGTCCCCTAGGCTCCTCTGTCCATGGAATTCTCCAGACAAGAACACTGAAGTGTTTAGCCTTTCCCTTCTCCAGAAGATCTTCCTGACCCAGGGATTGAACTCAGGTCTCCTGCATTGCAAGCAGATCCTTTACTGCCTGAGCCATCAGGTATATGAACCAAAATTTAGTAAGAATATAGCAAACTGGTAATTATATCAGGCTAATATCACAATGCATATCATGCTGGTCACTAAATCTTGGCAATGCTGAATTAAGAATCCAGTTAAGGAATTATGGACTTACATACCTGTGGTATCCACCTGGAAGACACGAAGCTTGTCACTTCTATTACAGACAAGCCAGTTTGGGAAAGCTGATTGATAAATTCAATTTTTATATCTGTAGGAACTATAACCTAAGGAAACAAAAATCACATATTATTTGCGTAGAGTCTAGGCCACATAAATAGAAATTAATTCTTAACTGAAAGCAAATACTAGTTAAGATGTATAAATTCAAGTAGTGACTGAGAACAAGATAATCATCTAATATATGAAATCCACATAAGCCTTTAGACTCTTGAGTAAATATTTAGATTTAACATTTTAAATAAACTGTGTAAAATAAACATCAAACTACCTTTTCATTCTGCAATCCATCCCTAGGTCCAACTTCTACTATTTTAACATATTCAGGGAATCCAGATAACTGGGCTGATTCCTGAAATGGAAAATACAAGGCAAGAAAAAGAGATAACTGTTATGTCATCAAAGCTGCTTAGATGAAAAGTCAAACAATTCCACTTTGTTAAGATTAAGTTCTCACCCTGGAAAGTTAAGAAAGGTAAGAAATCAATACAATGATATAATGCAAAATACAAGGTTTACCCTATTAACAACATGAAGTAATTTTTTTCTTACAGTCCAGTAATAGTGTAATTGGGCATCTCTGGTGGCTCAGCAGTACAGAATCTGCCTGGGACACAGAAGGCGAAGGAGACATGGGTTCAATCCTTGGATCAAGAAGATCCTCTGGAGGAGGGCATGGCAACCCACTCCAGTATTCTTGCCTGGAGAACCCACGGACAGAGGAGCCTGGCGGGCTACAGTCCATAGGGTTGCAAAGAGTGACACAACTGAAGCGACTGAGCATAGCACAATAGTCTAATTATGATTAAAACTCAAAAGATGAACTTCAAAGATAAAACTGTCAAGAAGACTTAGGATCTAAAGATCACATTTGTTGAGTATTTCTGCGTGTGATGATAAACAGCATCATTTGAGTTCATTAAAAAAAATAGATCTTTGTATTAACAGACTTTTGCACTTTCCTTCACTTGCCAAGTGTGAGTTCAGATTTCTTGTCTGTGCTGGTGAAGATGTGTTGTTTATTTCTTGTCTGTGTCACGTAGCATGACCTGCACCTACACACAGCTTCCTGAAGGTCAGACTCCCCCACCCCCACCAGGGTGACCCAATCCTGGATATTCCCGTCTGTCCCTAAACTAAGGATTATGGACACACTATGTTTAGGACACTAGTTTAAAATAGGAAAAATAGAAACAGACTTTCTCAACTTCATATTGCAGTTAAAATTGGAAATAGGCTACATCTTTCCAGACGGAACAAACATGACCTCCTGGTATCTCTAAGCACAGTTAAGTACTGGTAATCGATCATCAAAGTCTTCAAGCTAACAGAATTGAACCAGATCAGTATAACCTGTGCTTCTGAGTTTTCATTTACTTGTTTTTTTTTTTGTTGTTTTTCGTCTTGTCTTCCATAAGGGATGATTAATCTGGGCTGACCAATTTGTATTGTCTCTCTCCTGGTAACAACCACAAGCATACAGTGATGAAGTGGCTATTTTGGGTGTGGGACTCTGTTTCCATAACATGGAAGAACATGCCCTGCCTGCCCTTGGAGGATCCATAGCTGCTGCCTGATTTTATTAGCATTCTGTGCTAACTAACTAAGCAAAAGAACCCAGATGGTTTCTGTTACAAAGTTTACATACCACCCTCTGCAACGTCCACAAAATCAGGCAGTTCAATAAGCAAAAATTAACGAAAAGGGAAACGGACTCTCATTCCTGCATCTCCTGAGCAGGTTGTGATGCATGCAGTTGGGAGGGTGAGGCCTGAGTGAGGACTTGTGCAGTTTCTCACCCTTAGGCTCTGTTTTGGATGGTGATCATGGAGTCATGTCTCATTCACAGGGTGGCCATCATTTCATCCAAACAGTACAGGAGAGGGGGGCATGGAAAGGCAGAGCAAATAAAGAGAAGCTCACTCCTCTCTCTTATTACATCCAGCCCTAAAACCACAAAAAACAAAACAAAACAAAAAAAACTAGGCAATCTTAAACCATGTGGTCTTACTATTGTTGACTGTTTCCTGAAACTCATTTCCAATAGCAATTAGCTTGGAGCATACAGGGATGAAGAATATTTCTTTATTAAACAACAACATTTAACAAAGAATATAAACATGGTACTTTTCAAGGTGACAGCAGTATGCTGAGTATAATTAAAGGGACCTCCCCTTGCATCACTGTTGTAAGTGGCAGAGGTAACAAACAATCTTAAGAAATTAAAGTACAATCCCCCACCAATTATTGTTATTTCTGTCAAAGCAGAATATGTCCTCACTTGATATTATTTTACATTTCTTCTTGAATCTAATACTAGCATTTTGTCTTCTAGGCATGGATATGTATAACCTCTTCCTGAATACCTGAGAAATCAGAAGAAAGTTATAATGTTTTCAGTAAGCTCAAAGAACATTTCCCTTTAAATAGCACGTGTGTGCATGCGTACTAAGTCACCTCAGTCCTGTCGATTCTGTGTGACCCTACGGACTACCTTAAAAATCCACCTCTATTCACTACCATTTCTCTTACCATGTGTATCTAATGGGTACCTAATTGGTACATTTATTACTGGTTCTATTTTGGCATATACCCAACACCTAGCACTTAGTTGGGAGAAGGAAACGGCAACCCACTCCAGTGCTCTTGCCTGGAGAATCCCATGGACAGAGGAGCCTGGTGGGCTGCTGTCCATGGGGTCACACAGAGTCAGACATGACTGAAGTGACTTAGCATGCATGCATGCATTGGAGAAGGAAACTGCAACCCACTCCAGTATTCTTGCCTGGAGAATCCCAGAGACAAAGGATCCTGGTGGGCTGCTGTCTATGGGGTCGCCCAGAGTCGGACACGACTGAAGTGACTTAGCAGCAGTAGCAGCAGTACTTCCTGAGTGCTTGTTGATTGCATTAGTGAATCTCTTTTGTCACTGGCTTTATTTAAATTGTCATCCTTTTCCACTCAGTCTATTGCTTCCTAAGTATTCTCCCTAATCTTATTTTCCATGATTAAAATCTTTCAGAATCTACCATTCGTTTGGAGAGATCTGTCAACCTAAAGTAAAAGATGATGCCTGACTAACTCTGACCTTCTACCACAATCTACTTCAAGCATCCTGTGATTTTAGCCAAGCCAGAGTCATGTCCTGCTCACTTCCATGACTGTACACATGATGTTACTTTTCATTGGAAAGAGCTTCTATCCACAGGGGAAATTTTCGACCAAACCCGTGTCTCTTCTACACGGGCACAGGACTGGACTTCATTTCTCCCCTAAAAGTCACGTTTGAACAAGTTCAGCTGACAGAACATGAAGGTGAATGCTATGTACCCCTTTTAGGCTTGGCCCATGAAAATACCCCATGTACATGCATCCATGCTCCTTCCCTTCCAGACAGCTTGATATAGATGAGTATGGAAAACTTGGAATCTGATAAAGACAAAAAAAGAAAAAAGAAAGGAAGCTACACTTGAATCACTACTTGAAAAATAATAAGAAGCAATTGTTTTGTCATAGAAAAATAAACATCAACTGTGTTACAATATTGAGAGGTATATCTTTTATAGCTACTAATTGTGAGAAAAAGATAAAGGGTCTGAAGTTCTACTTTACTTGCAAGCTAACAAGTTGAGCCTGCCATGGATGCTGGTAGAAGACACAAGAACCCTGGGTCAGAAAAGAAAAAAAGTATTATCACTCCTAACAACCACAGTAGTTAGAGGATCAGGATTTCTATGGTTCTCCAAGCCCAATTTCCAGGAAGAAAAGAGAACCATGTAACGTTTGCACAGGCAATGGGTTCCATTATAGGAAAGGAACTCTAAGCACATGGAGCTTGAAACTTTGGTAATGGGCAGTTATGACCCTTTAGTGACAGAGGTAGACATGTGTTTATGATGCTTGACCATGAGTTCGCCTGCCTTTTGTCCCAGAGAAAGACACTCCCCCTTGGCTCCAGAAGGATACACTATTTCTGTCATTCAAAGCTGCTTGACATACAAAAATCCTTGGAAAGAGAGTTTGGAACAAAGGTATTTGTGCCTGTGCTTGTAAGACAAACAAAAATTCAAGACACCCATGGAGAATTATTTCCCAATAATACCCACTCTTCATTTTTACACCATCTTGTTTTATGGCAAATTGTCACATTAATAAACCATTCTGTTTTGCCCCTTTGATAAATGAACAGGAGCTAGAACCAAATCAGTTCAATTTATCTTATGAAAATATTTAATTAAAGCTAGTCCAGCTGGTGGCTTCCAGGGTGGCACAATGGTAAAGAATCTGCCTGCCAATGCAGGAGACATGAGTTATACCCCTGGGTCAGGAAGATCCCCTGGAGGAGGAAACAGCAACCCACTCCAGTACTCCTGCCTGTAAAATCCCATGGACAGAGAAGCCTGAAGGGTTATAGCCCATGGGGTCACAAGACAGTTAGTTGCACACCACTTAGGAACTAAACAACAACAACAGCAAACAACAGCAACAGTCTCAGCAGACCTCCAAGGAACAGGAGAAAAACAGCCTACAATACAATACAGAAATAGTCATGCCCACTCCTCTTGAGGGTCCTGGAGCCAACCAGCAGAATGAATCCTATGCCGCAGTGGCCTCGGCATCAGAAACCTGGAGTTGTTTACGCTGTACCTTTTTTATGATGGTGGGTATGTTACTATGTTCAGTGCTACTATATATCCAGGCAGCAGTGGTGGCAATCCAGGCAATGGAGGTTTGATCAGCAGTGTGATTCCAGGGTGCCTCATCCGAGTTATGGGCCTCCGATGACCCATCGGCAGCCATAATTTATTGCCATAATTCATAGCGCCTCCCCAAGGTGTCTTTAACATCTCAGTCCACAGTTTGCCAAATGGCAGACAAATAAGCTAGGCCAATGACCACAACCCACGAGTCCATAAAAACATGGGAAAGGCCTCCAGTTCCACTGGACGAGTAGAGTGATCACAGCCCTTTTCAGTTCTGCATGGCAGCCTGGGAGGTTTCCCAACCGCAGGAGCCCAGTGGTCATCATCAGGTTTCAGCTCAGCTGAAACATCATCCAACCACGCTAAGAAAAGCACCGTGAAGAGAAGAGTCCCCACTGAGCTGGTAGCTTTGTTCCAGGCGGCGGAATGGACGACAGAGGGCAACGACTACTTTTCGTGAGTAAAGCTCAGGTTGCACTGGGGACAGGCCAGCCACTTTCTCAAATATACCATTTCCATTTGATTAGTGAGGCCTGCTGAAAATGTCTGACCTTGTTAGCCACCACCTCCAGGCTGAATCCCCAAAATGGAAATACGGGCCAGAGAGTCAGAGAAACCTCCCTGAGTCAAGCATCCAGTTAAAAAAAGG